GGCGTAACCAGGTGCCATCTCTCCTCTTGGTCTCTCTTGCAGTCTTGTCTATTGACACAATTTTCCCATCTTATTCCCTGGTTATCCTTCCCCATTGCTAGTCTCCATAGACATCCCCTGCACTACGACACCAGCATCTGCTCTGTTTTTCTCCAACATATAATCCCAGCTTTTCTGCCTTCCTCTTCTGGAAGAAACACATTTTCTCCCATTTCATCTTGCCCGAGAGGGATTGGGGGTTTTGTGCCTGGGATCCTGCAGAAGCCAAGGTGTTCAAAGGAGGATTAGGCGAGTTCGGTACGGATAGGGCCGGTGTAACTATAAGCAGATGGTCCGGATACATTCCCTGCTTGGGGAAGTCCCAACGCCTGTGGCTGCCAGGAGCCAAGAAGGTATAAGAAGGAAAAGCCACTCTAAATATAGCCCGATGCTGCAAGTATCTGTTACCGACCATAGTCAGAAAGAGCTGTGCCGGCCAAACCACTCCAGCTCAGTGCCACGAGCCAAGGCAGGAGCAGGACACGGCTTTGGGACTGGGAGTCAGAAGACAATGGGTACCTGGAGTTAAAATTCCAGGGCCGGGTGTAGCCAAAGTTCTCCCGAGAAAGCAGGACATCCCTGCAAGGGAAACCGCGGCTCTCCCTAACGCATCACCCAGTGCCATGGATGTGCTGCAGGATCCTGCAGACCCGTTCCTGCCCTCGACCGCACACGCACGACTTTCCACGCAAGCCTCTCCTCCAGGCACGGTGCAAACCACAGGCTGGTTCCTCCAGGATGACCGCTGCAGTGCGGCATTCCCCGGGGAGACAGAGGGACCCCACCTCGCTGCAGGGAGCAAGGAAGGGGCTAGCAAAGCCCCTCAGCAGCTGGGCTGCTTCTCCTGGGGAGGTTTGGAGAGGGGTTTTCTGCCCAGCCTTCCCCATGTCGCCAGCAGCAGTGACTCCTCTTCCTCTCGTTAGGGCCGGTCTGCAGCGGCACAGCTCGTTCCAGCTCCGGGGAGGGTAATTACCCGGCTTGTGCGGCCTGCAAGGGAACCTGCGAGCCCGAGTTTCCAGGCAGCAGGAGCGGTGGGGAGGGTGAAGGGAGAGAGGGTGTGGGGTGAGGGGGGGTGGAGAAGAGCCTCCTGGGTATAAATAGCAGCGAGATGGGGCTCGTTAGCTTGTTAACCCCTTCCAGCCCTGCACAGCAGGGTTGCTCCAAGCATCCATGTCTGCGGGTCACAGCCAAACAGTGAGGTGTGTTGCAGGGATGAGGGAGAAGGCACAAGGGAGGCTGAGGTGTTTCTGTCCTGAGAGGCCCTGCCAGCCCCACGGGCAGGTGGTGGAGAGGGAAGGGAGGAAGACAGCAGCAGGGAAAATCTGGGACCAGGCGGGGAGCCCAGGGAGCTCCGGCTGCACGACCCAGCTACCATCCTGCAAGTCCTCACGGGGTGGATTCCTCTGGTTTTTTAGTGGTTTTTGCTATTCACACGCTTTATAGCACGTTTCCTTCAGGTCTCGGCAATCCCCACATGTATTTTGGTGCAGAGGAAAGGCCCCTGTTGCTGCTCTGACCGGGGGTAGCTGGACTCCCTGCCCGGACCCTGGCAGGGCAGCTCCTGTGCCAGGCATTGTTCCTACTGGAGCAGAGGTGGGGGGAAGGACAGTGGCCGCATCCTGTGGGGTCCAGCACCCCAGCAATGCAGGGGAGACCTGCCACGAACCCTGTGCCTGAGACAGATGGAAGCTGACAGGCTTTTTTGCGAACTTAAATATTTATGGAGCGGGAGCTGCGTGGCTGGTGCTGGTGGCCCCAGGTCCAGCTCCCTGGATCTGCCGCAGCGGTTCCTGCGGAGGGACGGATCCAGGTCACCAGGAGCAGTGAGGGGGCCAGGGAGGAGCTCAGCCAAAGGGGAAACCTCCCAGCTCCTGGCTGTGGGATCTGGGAGAGAGCTGCAGAGCTCCTGTCCTACCCCTAAATGCTTTTCCAAAAGCTGTAGGGACCCACCGGGGTGGGCACATCCTGGGGTGCCAGGGAGGGGAAAGGGGGTTCATCCCCAGAGCCACAGCACCGGGCACTGCGCTCCCACTGCCGGACCATCCCCAGGGACCGACAGCCTGCATCAGCAGTGCTCTCAAGGCTGGGGTTTGGGCTTTTTTCACTGCAGTTTTTTCCCCTCCCCTCTCTCTCTCCTTCTGGCCTATTTTTGTCTTTTGCAGGGGCTCAGGAGTTTTCCTGAAACAGCTTTTCCGAAGGAGGCTACTCTCAGATGGACGGTCGGTGGGAAAGTCTTCGCTTCCCCCCGCCATCGCTCCTCCTACACGCCCCGCGCTGCTGCTGCTGCTTGGAGCTGCAACCGCTTTTTGGAGCATGCAGAGGAATACAGCACCCGAGGAGGGGGGGGAGAGGAGTAAAAATAGTCCCTTGCAGCCTACTGGGGCCCCGCTTCTCCCTGAGGGAGCAATGGCCAAGTGGGTTAGGTAGGACCTACTTCGATCCCCCCGCGCTCAGAGGAGGCCTTTCTTCCCATGACCCCAATTGAAGATGCTGCCTCCCACGAGGAAGAAGAGGGACGGCTCTGCAGACCGACAGGGTGGGCTGCTGCCGAGCCCCTGCTCCATCTCCGGGATGGTGGCTGGAGCGCGAGGGAAGGGCAAAGACCCCGTGCTGCTGCAGGCAGGGCTGAGTTACTGATGGGGACCCCCCCAGCACTGCTTGGGGTACAGGGCAGGCGGGGAGCGGAGCTGGGCATGGAGCACGGGAAGATTTGCCCAGCTCCTCATCTGGCACGGGGCAGGGAGCAGGGCACGCTTACCGATGTTGGGGTGCTTCAGGAGGCGGCAGATCCGGGCTTCTCGTTCCAGCTTCTGGTGATCTGAAAGATGCAACAGCCCTAAATTAGGGTCTGGTAAAGGGAATAAACCGTGCTCAGCTTCTGCCATGTGCTCTTGGAGGAGCTGCCAGCATGGGAAACCTGTGGGGGGGACAGAGCAGCTGGCAAGGAGCAAACCCATCCTTTTTCTTTTTTTTTTTTTTTTTTTTTCCTAAAGAATAACAGGTCTGGGGACATGTTCAGCATTGGGGCCTGATAGACGGTATGCCATTATGGATGCAGCCCCCAGCTAAGCTCTCAGGCACCGATGCCATGGGCAGTCCTGGGCTTTGGATGGTCCCTCGCTCTCCTCTCTCCCTTCTTTTTGCTGAATAAGCCCTGATCACCTCCCAAAAGCCTTGGAGCTGCCTGGGTTATCGCTGCCAGCAACGCCTGCTCCGCTTTCACTTATTCAGCCAAGCACAGGCAATCAGCAAGGACATTTCTGGCCCTGAATGGTGCAATTTGAACAAAGATAGAGCCAACCAGTGAGAGATGTCAAGCTGAAAGAGGACTATCTGCTCCCCATTTCCATCCCCAGCCATTTCACATCAGGTCTTTGCTCTACTACACTGCAAAACTCTGGCTCTGAAAATCTGCTTTGCTTTGGTGCCTATTTCCAAACAGGCAGCACAGGTCCCTCTCCACAGCTTTCACCAGGCTCAGGGCTGGGAGACAGTGTAGCTTTGGGCAAAGCGAGTCGAGATGAACCAAAAAACCCTCCACCCTGGGGGAGCCCGGAATTAATTTTCATGTGATTTTGTTTCTTTTTCCTTGTCTTTGCACTTTTCTGCCTCCTTATACCTGACCCAGCCACCCTACGTGGAGGTATCTTGTCTGGAAGCATTTCATGTTAGCAGGAACCCAGCAGCCCGGAGAAGCGAGGATATAATTAGGGTTGCTCGTCTCTCAGCACTATCACTGTTACCTTGCAGGTTCACACCCCAGAGTCTCGCTCTGCATCAAAGCAAACCTGGGTGTCTGCGACCACTGAGACGTGAAGGCAACGCAGCCCCTTCCCTGCGGGGGCTGGAGCCTTCCTCAGGGCTCAGTATCCCCCGTCCAGCGACCATGGGGCTCCGCACCAGCGAGTCACCGCAGGGCTGGGGGTGAGTTTGGCAGCCTGTGCTGGGATCCACGGGCCAAAGGCTGGGACGGCCTCGGTGGCCTCGTTCAGCTCCCCACGGCATTCCCCCCGATGGGGGACAATCTCCCGAGGGTGGGACAGGGCAACAGGGAGAGGTTGGGGTTTAAGCTATTGCTTTTCACAACCAAAGTCTATTGTGGGGTGGAGGACAGGGATGGGATGGAGGGACAGTGTGACCCGTGGGGCAAGCACTTCTCTGGGGAACAGGGGAGCTGCTTTCTGCCCTCTCTTCTGCTCCTGCCTGACGGTGATATTAGGTGAGTCCGTGATTGTCACTCTCTGCCTCAGTTTCCCCATCTGGAGGCTGGGGCCAAAAGACCCACGGGGAAGCCCAGCATTACTGGTGTCCAGTAAAGCTCCTTTGTTTGCTTAGAAAAAGCCAGAGATCACAGGAAAGAGGTGAATGTGACCCCAAGTACAGAGTGGGTCCCAGCA